TTCTGCAGAGTTGAGCACACTTTATTGGTGACTGAGGGTGTTGAGTATACAGTGGTACCTCGGGTTAAGTACTTAATTCATTCCGGAGGTCAGTTCTTAACCTGAAACTGTTCTTAACCTGAAGCACCACTTTAGCTAATGGGGCCTCCTGCTGCTGCCGCGCCGCCGGAGCACAATTTCTGTTCTCATCCTGAAGCAAAGTTCTTAACCTGAAGCACTATTTCTGGGTTAGCAGAGTGTGTAACCTGAAGTGTATGTAACCTGAAGCGTATGTAACCCAAGGTACCACTGTATTTTTCTTTCCACTGAACATTTCCCCAGCACTCCCCTGTCATGGCTGCCTGCACTTCCTGAACTGAAAAAGCCCTATGGGAGCAGTCTTCTATTGGCAATGGAAGGCCATAATGTCCTCCCATGAGCTTTGACAGAAGCATGGGAAACTGGGAGGCTGGCTCCCAAGTACCTGAGAGAAGTGAGCTTGCCATTCCCCCCCCCAAAGAAAAATCATTCCTTTAACCTAAATATATATATAAAATAATGATCTTTCTGCATTTAGTCCTTGAAAAGTAAATAGACTTTTAAAATAAACAGACCAACAGCTGTCAGAGACCTGGTAGGCAGCTTTCCATACATTGCCAAGAATATTATAGTGTTTTCAGGAATGATGGACAACAAGGGGAGGCTTAAGAATGCAAACCACTTGAGAGATGGCTTGCAGAATGGAAAAAAGTACCGTACGTTCACAAAACACCACAGCAATCTTGAAAGGTAAACACACAACAACTGCCCTATGCCCCATTCACGACAATTTCACCAACGTTTTCTCTCTCCTTCCTTAAAGCTCAAATACAATACCCTTTTTCATTAATTGAGAGAGAATAGTTGAGAAAAAGAAGAAAACACAGACTAATTTAACCAGAATACTAATTATGTACCTATATCTGTATCTATTTGTGAAACAAACAAACAAAAATCCTTCCAGTAGCACCTTAGAGACCAACTATGTTTGTCATTGGTAGGCTTGAAGGAATTTTTTTATTTTGTTTTGACTACGGCAGACCAACACGGCTACCTACCTGTAACTATATCTATTTGTGAATTAGCTTGGATCTCCCAAGCTGCCTGAGAAAAACCTTTATTTTACCAAAAATAAAGAGAATATTGGAGTACCTGAAGGAGCTCTCCATTGAGAGACCCCTGAGAAGGAAGGTGCTGGCAGTGGAGAGTGCTGATGCCTTGCTGGCCCCACCCTTAAGGCCTGGACACACTTGAGCATTTTCAGGTACACCTACTGCTGTTTGAACGCATGGGGATTGTAGTTTCCAGTGCCTCCCAATCCATTTTTTTTTTTAAATGTGGGAGCTACTAGAAGCTAGAGTTGCACCTAAATTGTAGCAGCATCAGAAAGCTTCCACAGGTCAGTGGCCAGTGAGGGGACGGGACAGAACAATTGGGTAGAATCACTGCAGCGGCTCCATGCTGTTAAAGTGACTGGGTCTGGATCAAGTTCAGTGTGGGCCAGCGATAACTGTGAGAATGGGTCAGGATCTAGCGGAATGCAGGTTGGCTCTGCATGACCCACCACCTACTACCACTGGTAGTGTTTGGGGGCTTTCTGCTGGGTTAGGGTACCACCAGGGGACTTCCTGGATGGGTGCATCCAAGGCATTACGCTTGGCAGCTTAGTTGGAAAAATGGGATGCTTCAACTCAGTCCAACCCCACTTGCCCAGTCTGGTATAAGATGGTGTGTGTGTGTGTGTGTGTGTGTGTGTGTGTTAACTGCGCTGTCACTCATTACCTCATGTGAAAACTACTTGTGAAACAATATGTCTGCATAGCTGTCCTTACAAAGTATTTTTTTTCCTGTGTATATTGCACTGTACCTGTGAGCAGAAACAGTGTATTTATTATTATTATTTTTTAAAAAATGTATTCACAACACTAGACAGAATTAATAATGATAAAATATCACAGCTGGCTTCTGTGTATCATGTAGTAACAAACTTCAGACAATCTACAGGTCAACTGTAGCCATTTTTGGAGCCGCCTGGATGTCTGGAAGGGCCTGCCAACTAAGAGCCATCACAACTGCAAGGACTTCCTTTCTCAAACAGCTGTGGACTATATTACATCTGACATGACGAGCATCTCTTGAATCTACCTTTCAAACATTCAGCAAACCATTTTCTCACTGTCCTTCACAAAGTTGACATTTTCAGCAGCATGATAGGAAAGATGTCATGTCGGCTGCTTTTCAAGTTCTTGTCACAGTGGTTAGCACCAGTTCTGTCATCTTTACTCTCCTCACAATCCCCCATCTTTAGCCATGTCACAAATAATAATACTTCCAATGTTTTTTGTCAAATTCCAAATACTACCACCCAGCTGCACATCTTTTGGAAATTTATGAGTTATGTTAATTCTTGTTGCTCATCTCCCCAGAAGCTGAAGCACCATGATTTCATTAATTAAGTACAAATCTGTAGACAGCACTATGATTATATAAACATAAATTAAAAGCCCTGCACTTATTTTTATATACTTGAAGGGAAATGGAACCATTGTCATTAACGATCATATTATCTCAATTTATATATGTGTGCTTCCTCCTGCCTTCAAATTAATGTTTGGGGCATTCTTGCTCTTAGGATTTCCTTTTCTCTGCTGCATTTGGAACATTCTCTTGTTGCAAAGCAAGCAGTCGAAGGCAACAGAATATACCGGTAATCAAAAGGCATTATTGGTGGGAAAAGAAATCCACATTTCTGCTGTAGATGTGTGTGTGTGTGTTTAGGTGCCACTTCCGAGACATTTCAATATTTGATGTTTACAAGTGTAATCACAGGTTTCTGCAGCTTGTGCAATTTGTATTTTACCATTTTATGTCCAATGATTAAAAAAAGTGTACATAATGTCACATTTAAATGTAGTTATGTCATGCTTGGATCCAGATCAGGAATACAAAACATGAGGAAGGACAGAAACAGTGCACAGAAACGTCAGACATGTGGTGTCTGTAAATCTCTATGTAGTCACACAAAGAATTGCAGACATGTTACAGTGCAGGCACCTCTATATGAATTTAGGTCAACCTACAGAATTGGAAATATCTCAGACTTGAATGGTAGCAGATTCCCTCTCCCCCCCCCCCACCATTTTGATACTGTTTGGATTCTGCTAGAGAAATTAATAGGGCATAATAGTACAGATGGGTGTTGGGGGGTGGAGAGAAAAAGGAGGTTGGGATAGTGCCAGGAAAAGGTGCCTTTATGATGAGATATTAAAACCCTAAATTAGCTGTTCATAGTGTGCATTTTAAAATATTGTAAACACATTACACGAGAAGCTAAAATGTCCCTGTCTACTCCTAATATCACTCATTGACTAATTATTAATCAGCCCCCAAAGAAATCTTTCTGAAGTGAGTTGTCAAGTTTAAAAATAAATGGTCTCGTGGCAAAGACAATATCCCCCCCCACTGCTTCTTTGTGCAAATCGCAAGGTTAATTATAAATTATAATTAGGACCAGAGGTCCTAAGGCCACGATTTCTTTCTGGAAACCCCACCTCCCCCACCATGCCCTTTTCTAATTGTACACGGTGCCTCGGGGGCTAGTTATGCTGCTCAAGCAAATATATCAAAATCATTTCTTTTAAACCAAGGAGTACTGTACGAGGCAATAGCATGCATTTGTGTGCAATTATAAACACACATTATAGCTCTTTGGGGTTAATCCCTTTGACATTTGCCTGTTCCAGTGTGGCTTTGAAATGAACACAGTGTCTTTTACACCTTTCATGATAACCTCTCCCGTTCTTGGAAAAAAATGCCCATTAGTAGGCACATATAGCCTGATAAATACCTGATCCGAACTGGTGAAATTTAAAGGATCAAAGCCCTCTTTTCTTTCCTTTTTCTACACCATGGCCCCTAGAAAGTGTTTTGCGGTGCAGAGGACTTACAATACCTGTGACTATTATGATGCAAAGAGCATGTCCAGATGGCTGCCTGGCTGTAAGCCCAGGCGTATTGTGTTATTACATAACCATGTCACATCAGAAATGCAGCTGTTACCGGCAAAGGGCAAATTGAGTGCTGCTCCCCACATGCATGACCACACCTGGTTTTATCTACTGGTTCTTGCCTGTTCTGCTGCAACCATGCCATCACGTCACATGGGAAAACCTTGAATGAGACAGTATGAAGGGGCTAATGTGTATACTTGGCCATTGCTGTATTTTTGTGGCTAACATAGGCAGAGCTATAGATCTAATTTCTCTTGCATTGCTCAAGGCTGACACCCACTATTTGGGTGAGCAGCATGTTCATTAGTACCTCTCATAGAAACTCTCTTATATACAAAGTTAACATATGAAGAGCCTTGCTGGATCACGCCAAATGCCTGAATAGTTGCGCATGAGACTCTTAATCTCAGAGCCCCATGCTGGGTGAAAGATTTCTGTATGGCAAGGCATTGGACTAGAACAGGCATAGGCAAACTCAGCCCTCCAGATGTTTTGGGACTACAACTCCCATCATCCCTAGCTAACAGGACCAGTGGTCAGGGATGATGGGAATTGTAGTCTCAAAACATCTGGAGGGCCGAGTTTGCCTACGCGTGGACTAGAAGACCTTAGTGGTAACTTCCAACCTACGATTCTATGAAATCTGCTCCAGAGCCCTATTTCCTGTAGTGAATAACCAAGTAAGAATATAAGTAGAGCTCTATTGGATCAGACCAAAGGCCTATCTGGTCCAGCATCTTTTCCCCCCACATTAGCCAACCAGAAGTTCATGAGAAGGCCACCAGCACAAGAGCACTTTCTACTATTGTTCTCTGTATTCAGAGGCACACTTCCTCAGGTCCTGGAGGTAACTGGGAGATATTGGTGTAATAGTTTAGAACAGGACATTTAACCAGTGGTGCTTCACAGTATATCAGGTGGTACAAGCAGTACTGCTTGAAAAGCACAAGGTCAGAATGATGGACTAAGATTGGAGAAGGGCCATAGTCCAGGGGTAGAACACATGATTTAAAAACAGAAGGTCCAAGGTTCAATCCCTTGTGTCTCCAAATAGGACTGAGGAAATACTTCTTTCTGAATTCCCAGAGAGCCAGTGTCAGCCAGTGTAGACAACACTGAGCTAGATGGGCCCTATGTTCCCATGAGAGACCCAGATTCAAATCCTTGCTCAGCCAAGAATCTTCCTGGATGACCTTGAGCCAATCAGTCTCTTAGCCTAACCTTACATCACACAGTTGTGTGAATAACAAGGATAGGTATCGCCTTGAGCTTCTTGGAAGAAAGGCGGGACAAAAAAGATGTGTTTATCTATTTTTTAAAAAGGTTTGTGCACAAAGAAGTATTTCCTTTTTTAATTAATATATGTAAAATGATAAGGGGCCAAAGCTATGCTGCGCCAAATCAAGAAAGTGGGTTGCAGGTGGGATATTTGAAATGTTTTTTCATACTGCGCCATCTTACTGGTTCCCTGCCTTTGGACATGGTAAAGACTGGTACTGTTTTTTTCTTAGATGACTGGATAAAGGAGGGTTTGACCAATACAAGAAAAATGAAAGAGGTGTTAGAATTGTGTGGTTTATTAAACCCCACATGTTCTGAGTGAAGATTCTCTGGTTACAAATGCACTAGAACTTTAAAGCACATTTGAAGCATGTTTCAACCTCCTCAAAGAATTCTGGGCACTGTAGTTTGCCCCTCAGAGAGTTACAATTCCCAGCAATCTTTAACAGACTCTCTGAGGGGCAAACGACAGTGCCCAGAATTCTTTGAAGGGGGAAATGAGTTTTGAATGTGCTTCAGAGGTATAGCGTGGATGCAGTCTTTGTTAGGGGCAGAACACCTTGCCTTATACCAGTACAGTGGTACCTCGGGTTAAGTACTTAAGTCATTCTGGAGGGCTGTTCTTAACCTAAAACTGTTCTTAACCTGAAGCACCACTTTAGCTAATGGGGCCTCCTGTTCTCATCCTGAAGCAAAGTACTTAACCTGAGGTAATATTTCTGGGTTAGCGGAGTCTGTAACCTGAAGCGTATGTAAGCCAAGGTACCACTGTACAGCAAAGCAGGCCTGCAACCTACAGCCATTCATTACGGAGGCAGGAAAGAGCCTAGCTTAAGGCAGAACATGGAAGGTGCCTCCTAATACAGTCTCTCAGCTGAAACGTTCTTTAAAGAATCTCCCTCCTAGGGGTCAGAAAGGAAAGCGCCCCCAATGCTTTTGCTCACTGGATGGTGAGACTAGGGGGAATGTAGTGAATTAGTCCCAGTGCCTTTTGAGTAAAGAGTCTTTGTCAGGGGCAGTCATTTACTTACTTACTTACTTACTTACTTACTTACGCATAGTGAAGGTTTGGTCTAGGACAGAAAAGCAAAGCTTAAACTGTGGAAGGGAAGCCACATGGTGTACAGTGAACATGGCTGCATTTGCCTTGCTGACACCTGGACAGGGAGGCAAAATTGTAGCAGAGGCGGGAGGAGGGAGGGGTCCGCATTGCCACAGTATTTATGCTCCACAAGGCTCTCCTATGATCAGCACATACCCAAACTCTCTCAGAGTCTTATTACATGTCAAAAAAGCAAAACTATAGGGTAACAGATATTCTGCCCAAAAAGCTCTTGGGGGAGGGGGCTAACCTTACATGCTAAAATAAAACGGCAACACATATATATACTTTAAACTATCCAAACGGTGCAAATGAACTACAGACAAATATTAACAATTGTACAATTATTGCCATGTTTCTGTACTGTAACCATTCATTTCAGTGAGAGAGTGAACCATGGTCTCAAGTCACTTCCACTGAGATATACAGTACTTGAAAGGGATCTGCATGGATTGTGTCCAACATAAACAGGGCCCAATCCAGTTGGCCCCTTCTGCATAGGGTTTGATGCACACAATTGTTCCCATAAGTGTAGCACTCCACTCACAGAAGAGCTACCTGTAGGGTAAGGGGTGGGTGGGTGGCATCCAACTCCTGAGCTGTGTGCAGGAGGAGGTGGCAGTGGCAGGTGGCTTGTGCTGGGTAGCTTGTGCTTCAAGTCTTTGATTGTACGCCCCCTTGGCTATCCCTGCCCACTTCTTCTATTTTAGGAATTTTACGTCCCTAGATTAAAAGCAATGGAAATATAGAACCAATCCATTTCACACATAAATAAGTTTGCTGAATTCACACATAATGCTGAACCATGGTTTAGCATTATGAGAATAAGATCGTGGAAGCTGAATACACACTCTGTCTGTCTGTCTGTCTATCTATCTATCTATCTATCTATCTATGTCCCAAAGAAAGAAATTCCATTATACATCTCAGGGAGAAGAAAAATAATATTATGAAGTTATATTATAAACTAAAAAATGACCTTCTGTTTTTTGATTTTCTAAGAAACAGAAAGAAAGCAAATTCTATCATTGCCTGGAAAGTAGTTTTTCCTAATAAAACATCTAAGCAGTCAACTGACAAAATCTTCCCAGCAAAGTCTGAAAATATACAGTGCAAAACTCTCTTTTTGCTTTGTAGACATTTCACATGATATGGCGCAGGGGTCACAGCTGAGCTAGAGGTGTATTTCTAACAGCAGCCATTTTATTCCTGTCCTGCACTGACACTGATCAGCTACCCCAGAACTGTATTCATGAAGCAGGACCCTGGATAGCATCTAGTTAGTTTCTTTCCTCTGATGGCCTGTCATTCTGTCAGTCCTGACCTTCAGGCTGTCCTGCACCATCTGAATCACATTCTCTCTGCACTTTCTCGCTGACTGCAAGCTACTGTTGTCTCACTGTCTGACCTTACACAAACACAATACAAACAGACAACCCACCTCAGCTCCATCACTGTCTATCGCTTACATGGGAGATTGATAGCCACACAGAATTCTCTCTCTTCGACCTTCATTACTAGAGTGGCATATTCTTACTGACAGCCAACCTCATTTCTCAGAAAGCTAAACTGCCAGTTGTTGGTGGTGTGAGCTTTCTCCCCTTTCTTTCTTTCTAAAATTGCCTTCAATAAGCAAATGGATTTACTCACAAGTCTAACAAGAGGCATGTTAAACACATCTGCTCTTAGCCAGAGAAAACATGTTTTAAACATTGAAAAATAGAGAGAGCAGGATGAAGAGAAACATCTATAAAATAGTAATTAAGGCCACAGTTTTACACACTCTTACCTGGGATTAGTAAACTATACTGAACTCAATGTGGCTTACTTCTGAGTAGACATGCATAGGATTGCATGGTAAGACACGAAAGGTTTGCGATTTCTCTCTCTCAAAAACTACAAGTGGAAATCAAGTGCCAATCTGTAAACCAGATACCCTAAGAACAGCCATGCTGGACTATCACTACCCTGTTTTGTCTTCTGCTAGAAAGGATGGGATGTTCTGGCCCCACAGGGTTCAGTTATTTAGTGATAGCAAATCTCTCTATAGTATTAGTATTACTGTAAGTAGAAGGAATAATAATGCTGCTCCTTTAAGAAAAGGTAGTGCCTTTCCCCTTTCCAGATCTCAAGGCAGGCTGGGAAATGAAGGCACAGTAATTTTCTAGTTTCTATTGGCTCTGCCCAGAATGGGAAAAACCTTCCTCTCCTTTGCAACCTGGTTCAGTTTAGTTCTTGCAAGGCAAGGAAGAGGGGTAAACTCACTTGTTCTTACAGAACTCCATAGAGAACTTCCTAACCACATTCATTCAAAGCCAAAGAAAAACCTACTGGAATGTGAGTAAATATCTCCACATGTGCCTTGTGAACTTCAACAAAATGCATGTTTGAGAGCTTTGTGGAGTTTTGTTTATACTATCCTAATTGAGAGAAGTCTCACGACGGAACAAAGGAAGAAGGAAGAAGGAAGAAGGAAGAAGCCATTGTGATGTATTTGCCTACTTTAGAATTTGTTTGAGTGATCCTTTAACTTGCAGTGCTAATAGACTGAACTAGCATTTCAAAAATCCCTTCAAGATCTACTGATGGTACAACAGTTAATGCAATGGCTTTGCACACAATTACACACACACACACTCATTGTAGCTACAGGTTTCATCAACAGATGCAAAAGTTGCTTTTATCATTTCCAGTCATGCCTCTGTCAACCATAATCCACACAGCTCAGACTGAACCTTAAGTGTGTAAGTAATCAATACTCCAAAAGCTCTAAAAATTTAAAACCCACCTTCTGTATAACTTAGCATAGGTAACCCACTGCCCCAAGTCTTGTGGAAATGTATGAATGAAGCTGTGGTTCACACAGCATGGCTGAAAATTTCCTCAGGCACTTTGGAAAACTTCAACTTGCCTATTCTGAACCATGTTACCCATTGTTTTTTTTTCTGGTCTGCTTGGTCCTTACAAACAACAAAAAGGTGAAGAGCCGAGAACCTCCTACTCATGGGATAGCTCTGTTTCTGACTTCAAATCTAGGGATGTCCTTGAACTGGACTTTGAACAAGCTCTTTCTCAAGACCTCTGCATGGCCCACTCAAGTTTATATGCTACAGCCTGTATCTTCCTTATTCACCATGTTTCTCATGCTGTAAATCTGCCAATTAGCTACTGGGTTAGATTGCTACTGGTGTACAAAACCCTATAGAGCTTGGGACCAGGATACCAGAATAAAAGATTGTCTCACCCCTTAAAAACCCAACCAATCACTGTGTCCTACAGAAGAGGGTGTCTTCACCATGAGGCCTATTCTGTAGGAATTGGGCCTTTAGTGTCACAGTACCTGCCCTTTAGAACTACCTCCTGTTACATAGGCGTCATCTCTATTCAGCACCTACTGAAGACCTTCCTTTTTCAAGAAGACTTTTAAGTGGAGATTTTCATCCCAGTCTGTATCTGCACTGGATTTGAAGTTGTTTTTATGTGGGTGTTTTTATTGCAGATGTTTTTTATTGATGTGTGTTTATTGTTAACTGCTTTGAGATGTTTCATGGGAAGTGATACCTAAATGAAGGGACGGATGGATGGATGAGTGACTGAGTGAGAAACCCTGTGTTAGTGATTGCATGTGTGCTCATGGAACAGCATTAATACATTTGTGGTTTTCTT